TAGGCCAGTAAGCGAACTAAATAAACATATTCCTCAGTCTTGGAAACTGAAACTAAATGCAAATTTAAAAATAATTTTTGTAGTACAAATAAATTTAAATTCAATACACAATCTAAAAGTATCTCCTAAAATCTACTAATAGCCACCAAAATTGGATATAATTAAAGAACCTGAAATTTACATATTCATAGCTCTTGAAATATACCTACAAAACCAAAAAAGAATAGGCCCACCAGTAAATTAGCCGCTAATATGGTTCCAGTTTTCACAATACAAAACACTTGCCATGACTGATGATTTGAAAATAATGGCTAATTACCTGATTACTTGTAATGTTTATTTCCCTGAAAAGAGGAGTTATAATGGCAAAAACTCAAAATGGGGCCCCCATGAATCTGTGGGCTTATTCCCCTGAGTTGTGAGTAACAGGCTCCTAGACTGGCAGAAGGCAGTAAGTAGCGGCAACATCATTATGACTCATGACCAAAATTCACCCAGAAAGGCAACAAGAAAAAAAGAAGGAACAGAAGGAGATGGATAATCCTCCAATTGGAATTAGTTCCAAATTATAACGCTTTCCCCAAGTACTAGAGTCTAATGACTTTCATTTCAGTAAGCCCAAACATAGGCTTAGAGGGGCTCATGCTCTACGCACCGAAAACATGATGAATTCTTTTAAAAACTACCAGTGGCTCTTTAAACTGACTGAAGCACAACGTGAGAGTAACCACATTTGATGATTAGATGGTTCAGTATTTCCTTAAGTTATCCTATTTGAGGTGAGGATGCTCAGGGATCATACAGAGGGAACACCAAGGTAGAAACAGTAGTAACCATTCAAAGTCATCACTGAGGGTAACCCTAAAATATTCAGGGAGGGGGACTAAAGAAGACAAGTACACTGAGAAATTATGTTTTTCTGAAATGAATGCCATATTACTTTCAGTTCACAAAGTAAAAAGTCCCGCTGATAACTTAATACAAATAAATATGCTGCCTTTCATAGTCATCTGTGTAAACCTGGAAAGAGATCTCATAATCCACCCTCTGTAAAAATGAACTTATTTGATGTCCAAACCAGTTCTCTTTTTTGTACATTATATTCTGTCTAGATGCTAGAATTTCCATGATGTCGGGAGAGAGCTCTATTTGGAGAGGGAACACATGTTTTAAGTATACTTGGGCTATGAAGTGTAAGGAAAAATATCACAGGCTACTTAAAATATTTTAACCGCCATCAAAACTGCAGTGTGGCATAGACCGAGCCACATTCGTTTCTTAACCCTTTATCATCTATCATTCAGATTCCTGTGTGGAAAGTCAGTTCATACCATGATTTGCCCCTGTATTTCTAAAATGTTCTTTTTCCCCCCCAAGTTTTTTTTTTAAATGTTCTTATTGAAGGATTTCATTATGGAATTTCACAGGGATTTATCATACAGGAATTAATTGTGTAAATGGTGAGATAAATTCTTTCATGGTCCGAAGCTCACCTATTGCCTGAGGCCTCTCTACACTCTCCCTCCCTAATGACACCTCTTCCTTTGCTGAAATCTCACTTATCTTTGTAGTTACGGAGTTTAAGGAACTTATTTATTCCATTTTATGAAATAAATGATTTGTGGCACTTTCTAATTTTCCATGAATAGATTGCGAATTTCTGCTTCTATAGCAAATTTACCAAGCATATTCTCATTATAAATAATATTTCAACATTTCTAGTATAGCCACTAAAAAAATAGTGGGAATCTTTCCTGCTCGGTACAGTATTTACACTTTCTTAATCAGACATCTATCTTTTTAAAAAAAATTTTACTGATTTATTTGACAGAGAGAGAGCAGCAGCAGCAGCAGGAGTGGGAGAAGCAGGCTCCAGTGAGCAGGGAGCCTGGTGCAGGGTTCAATCCCAGGACCCTGGGATCATGACCTGAGCAGAAGGCTGATGTTTAACTGACTAAGCCACCCAGACACACCTTTTTTTTTTTTTTTCCTAAACTAACTGAAATCATTACACTTTTCCTTGATAATGTAGTAGGAGTATCAAAAATAATGTAAATTAATAAATTTTTATGGGTACCTCCTAAGAAATAAGAAAGTTTTTCTTTTCATAGCGGTAAAGGGGTGAGAACTATGTGTTTATAGTGGACGGGGAAAAATAGGATTAGCACACTACTGGGTATTTACCCTAAAGATACAAATGTAGTGATCTGAAGGGGCACGTGCACCCGAATGTTTATAGCAGCAAAGTCCACAATAGCCAAACCGTGGAAAGAACCTAGATGTCCATCAACAGATGAATGGATAAAGAAGATGCGGTATATATATACAATGGAATACTATGCAACCATTAAAAGAAATGAAATCATGCCTTTTGCAATAACGTGGATGAAACTAGATGGTATTATGCTGAGCGAAATAAGTCAATCGGAGAAAGACAACTATCATATGATCTACCTGATATGAAGAATTTGAGAGGCAATGTGGGGAGCTTGGCGGATAAGGAATGAAAAAAAAAGAAACAAGATGGGATTGGGAGGGAGAGAAACCATAAGAGACTCTTAATCTCACAAAACAAACTGGGGGTTGCTGGGGGTAGGAGGGTAGGGAGAGGGTGGTTGGGTTATGGACATTGGGGAGAGTATGTGCTATGGTGAGTGCTGTGCAGTGTGTAAGCCTGACGATTCACAGGCCTGTACCCCTGGGGCTAATAATACGTTATATGTTAATAAAAAATAAAATAAAATAAAAATAGGATTAAATGAAGAGACTCCCAAGACAGCATTTGCAGAAGACTGCTTATCTGTTCATTTATCCATCCCAGATTACTGACAGGGCATCTCTGTCACACCACATGCGTCTGACAGGATGTTAGTGGCTGAAGCTAGTTCATGAAGCTGTAGGCTCCACCTTCCAGGAACTCACACTTTGGTGAAGTCATAAAGACAACACAAGTAGTACAAGGACACTGGGGCTATCTCTGGCTGGGAGCACAGGGAAAAGAGTTCACAAAGGAGGTGCCGTTTGGACAGCATTTTGGTTTTAAGGTTTATGCTGCAGGTTTCAAGGCATCTGGGGTGCCTGACATCACAAAACCTGCTGCTGGTTTTCAGAAAAGGATCTGGGAAAGAAACTGCTCATCTAAGAGCAGTCTAGTGAGCAGATGAAGACCTCACTGGAGAATGAGAACCAGATGTGGAAGATATTTGTGAGGTAGAATCAATAAGACTTGATAGACTTGATAAAAAGATTGAGGAGAAGGAGTCCAAATGACATGCTGAGGCCTTTAACTTGGCAGACGGATGGTGACATTATAGGAAATCCTGATTATCACTAACACGTATTTATTGAGCACCTCCCACGTACCAGACACTTTTCTAGGCCCAGAGAGCCTGTTTTTATTCTAGTCAGGGAGGCAGAGAGTAAACAAATGAGTAATCTGAGAATAAAGTTGATGGAAGAAATAAAACAGGTTTATGTGACAGTGACCAGGGGAAAGAGACACTTTAGCTGAGGCAGTCATGAAAAGTGACATTTGAAAGAAGACCTGAATGACCCTCCAGTAACAAAGGGAGAGCAAATGCAAAGGCTGAGGTGGGAAGGAGCTTAACATGACCAAGGGACAGAACGGGAGGTGGAGTTGGGGCTTGGGGTGTGGGGAGAAAAGAGATGGGAGAGCATTTATTCTAGTTACTGTGGGCAACAGGCAGGTTTTCAGCCAGGGAGTGATGTGATCTGATTCATATTTCTGTCTCCTGTGTGGAGAATGGATTTAAGGGAGAAGGATGGGGCTGAGGGTGGTGACTCGGTCTAGAGTTCTACCAGTGCCGGTGCTGAGAGGGGGTCAGATTCCAGATGTAGAGGAATCGGTGAAAGGGCTTAGGGACGGGCTCTATGTGGAATGTAAGGAAGAGAGGAGTCGGGACACCTGAGGCTAAACAACTATATACAACTCGATTCTAAACAACTGTATAGAAGGTGTGGTGCTGTTGCAGAGAGATGGTGAAAACCTGAGCAGAGAGAACCTTCAGGGCGTTGGGGCTGGGAATCAACCAGTCTTCTTCCGTTGTGTAAAGGCTGAACTGCCTGGAAGCTTGTCTGTGAAATGGCATGTGGGCAGTTGGGTACAGTCTAGAGGTCAGGGGAGAGGGCTCATGGAGATGTACTTGGGGAGTCCTTCGCCTCTTCACAGAACTTAAAACCATGAGACTGGATAAGATTCATCTCAACTGATCGTGACTGTATTCATCCATTCATTTAACAAACTTTTCAATGGCCTATTCTGTGCTAGGCTTTAGGGCTCCAGTGATGAACAAAATAGGACAGGTCCCTGACCTCTCTCTAGTTGTATGCAGCGGTACCCTCCCTGTGCTACAAGACGAATACAAGTAGGGGTGTGTCACCATGGAGAAAGTTCCAAAATTCATGGGTATCTCTTGTACCCTAATAATTAACGTTCCCCCCAAATCTTAAAAATGATTGTTTTAGTGATTAAATGATGCTAGTATGTTTCTATATAGTATGTGGAAGTATGTGAATTACATTTTGAAGCACCCACAAGGAAGAAATCATTTCTTATGCGGAAAAGAACAAATGTTCGAGTCCTTCTACTGAATAACGTCAAGGAGTACACTTTGATGCTGGAAACAGGAATACAGTTCTGACTAGGTTATTTTCAAACCCTTCTCTATAGCTTCATATATTATCTATTTACTCCAATGTATTAGAAAATAGCCACTCAAAAACAGTTCAAACGTTTTAACTTAAGTGCTCTTTTCCCCTTTTTTCAACTGGAAGTTTCCATTTCCAGCATTAGGAAAAGCTTAGCCCTGGCGAAACCACTCCCTCTACTGCCGCCTGACTTTCAGCAGATCACCTGCTTTCTTTGTCCTAGGCATCTGTTTACATAAGCAAGAGTGGAAGTTACTATTTATCCTAAGACGAATATATAATCATACTGACTTATTAGCTTCACCCCAAAAAGACTTCTGAGTTTCACTTACCTCCAAAGGTTGGCTGCCTTCGGCCTCTGAAGTTTTACCTTCTGCTGCCTTTCTTTGCTCACCTGCTGTATCTCCTGTGAAGCAAAAAAACAAAAACACAACAAAACCTTTACCATACCCTTGAGGCCAAATTGTCTTCTGTTTATTTAAAATATCTTTTGTTCCTGTATGTTTCACATTAGGAAGCAACTACTATTTTCTTTGTTACAAAGTAAGTTAATTTCTAAGAATAATCATTTTATACAGGTTCCAGGAATCATATGTACATACACACACACACACACACACACAACCTCAACCCAGATGCTTTAATAGAGGTTTACCCTGAAAAAATTCTTATTTTGTAAATTGAGTCATATTTCAAGTTAACTAGGAAAGCTTAGGATTTAAGGAAGACAAGGAAAATTATTTTCAATTTAAAAGTCTTTATAATATGAATAACTCTCCTCCAAAATAGTTTTTTTTTTTAAACAAGGCTTACTCATTATAAGTGTTTACTTGTAGGTCTGTAGATTTGCCTCAGAGTAGATATGCATATTTGCATGTAATAGTTAACCAAACATCAAACAATCTTTACAGAAGGGGAGAACAATGAACAAATTCATAAATTAGCCTTTGGTTAATACTCTGACTCCTAAGACTAATGCCTAGGTAGGTTATATCACTAAATGAAGTTGGTAACCAGGCTGGTTCCAAGGACATAGGATGGGCACAAACATAGGTAAGTTTAAGCATAATTTAATTAATTAATGGCCCATTTTAATTTATTAACTATCACTAATGATCTGTGGTTAACACATGGTTGGTAAAGAAACAATGAATCAGAGGTTGATTTAGTAATTTGTAAACTACACTTCCCGTAAAATTAAGCCAGCTCAGGAATGTCCACAACAGGGAAGATTACAAAATTCATGGATGACGACTTGGCCAACACCAAAAGGTAGGAATTTGTTAATAAGGAAGGCCATAAGTCCTGATTGGAGATAACAAAATATGCAAGTCCTGGCTGAGCTTAACTTTTTTTTTTTTTTTTTTTTTTTTTTATGGAACACAGAAGTTTAGCATACCACTGGTGATAATCAAGGAAGAGTCTCATTGAAATTTTAAGGAATTAAATAAACCTGTTAAATTCTAAAATCATTTAGAATTATGGGGTGCCTTGGTGGCTCAGTTGGTTAAGGGTTTGACTCCTGCTTTTTTGGCTTGGGGCATGACCTCAGGGTTATAAGATTGAGCCCTGTGTCAGGCTCCTGGCTGGGTGTGGCTCCTGCTTAAGATTCTCTCTCCCCCTCTTCCTCTGACCCTCCCCTGCTCTCTCTCTAAAATAAATATATAAATCTTAAAAAAAAAAAAACAACAATGCAAGCACATCAATCAGTGCCTTTTCTGGCTTATAAGCTCTGTTCACAGCTATGTACAACATTCTTATCATTGGGCAAGACCTACCACATAATAGGTGTTCAAATACTAGCTGAATAAATAAGCGAACTTCTCTTTATACTTTCTATTCCATAAAACTGAGATTAAAATATTAAATGGTATGTAATAAAAGCTGCATTTGAGCATACAGTTGATGTCCTTCTAAAACATATTTGTTAAACTTAAAAGGCAACTATATTAAGTACCACTAAGGTGTATTTATTCTTGGGATCCATGATTGTGGCATGACTTCTTACATTTTAAAAGCAGTTAATGATTATTTATAAGGAAAAAAAAATCAAACCAAGGCAACAGCATCAGGAACTCTTAGGTTAGGTCTATAGGATAATAAAGTTAATAACTGTTCAAGTGAAAAACTTACACGAAACTACTCCTGTAACCTAGCATGTCAAACTATTTTGACTGATTTTGGAAGTGCTCGTTTAAACTGACCACTTATTGGCATATCTGGGAGAGCCCGCTTTTCAGAACTTTCTCTTCTCTCTGAAAGTGAGGGACAAGATCATCACCCCCAGCTTACAGCTGGCAAAACAGACGCCCAGGGAGTTTGGTTGGTTTGGCTAATGGCCTGAGGCCAGAGCAGCCAAAGGAGCCGAGGTAATGCAAGTCTCTATACCCTGAGGTCAGAGTGCCTTTAATGACTCACATGCCCAATGCTCACATCATAATACATGGTCATTTACTCAAGAGTTTTATCTTCTCAAGTGATTATTGCTCTGTCCCATAGCCTCACAAACACTGTACTTGGCTAAAATCGTTCAACACCAAGTCAGCGCTTACTTTGCCATTTTCTGACTTCAAGCTGTGTTGTCTGTATGAAGCTTTCTCCATTTCTCCCTATTGCTTGAATAACCAGAAAGGTTATCAGCTGGTGTTCCTGACATCACACAACACATCTGCCTGGAAGCGATTGTAGAGTCACTATTTACTGAAATGCCATGTCTGGTGATGACTCAGATAGGACAATAACTGATTACAAGGAAAAATGCCATCTGCGAGATTATTCTCTATAAACAAAAGCACAAAATGAAAACTGCACAAATCACAAACAGAAAAGAACAGGTCACAATCAAATATAATTTTTGAAGGTTTTTTTTCTTCCCACCAAAGAATTATTTTATCATGAGAAACATCAGTTACTTTCTCCAGTTTTTTATAATCCACACAAAAGTTAGATACTTCAACAATACAGCACATGTGACAAATGTGAAATAAGGTACTTTAGTTCTCAAAATGATCATTAACTCTGATTTGTATACTGGACAGATTAAAAATTCTCATTTGCGAATCAGCTGTTTAAAAAGGAGAATAGAACCCCCAGGGGCAGAGGCACTCAGTGACTTGCCCCAAGTCTCCCAGGTAGAAAGCAGTCACAGTGGGAGCACAACCTAGTCTTCTGACATCTCTATGGACTCTGTGGTCTGGTGGAAGGTTTCAATGGATGTGGGCTAAGGTGGTGGAATCAAGTCTGAGTTAGAGAATGGTGAAGAGAAGGGGCCAAGGATCCAAAAGGGAGTTCTGAACGCAGGATCTTGTGTTGGTCCAACCCTCCCGGCACCTACAACTTCTCTGGACTCTTTTCTTCCATAAGCCCCACAGATTATCTGTTCTCTTCCCTTTCCACTGATGATGCCAAATACTTCTGACCAGAGCAAGCCTCTGTCCTTCCTTCCCATCTTTCAAAGAAAAGATGGGAAGGAAGTCCCCTTGATACTTTTCCAGAAGTTTGTAAGGCTAGAAACAATTTCACAAAAGGCAACAACCCCATTACATTATAACCATGCAATTTTCTTGGTTTAAAAATGAAGTTTTTATTTAGAGTAAATGATAAAGGCTACATATACAGGCTAAGGAAGCTCTTTTGGAACCTAAAGAGCTGAAGTAAAAGTCCTCTATATTTTAGATTAGGGATTGGTAAGTTTTTCCAATATAGTGCTAGATAGCTAATATTTTAGACTTCATGGGCCCTTCAGTTTCTGTTACAAAATTCTCAATTCTACCTTTGTGGCTGAGAACAGTCACAAACAATACAAAAAACAATGAATGTGAACTTGTGTTCCAGTAACATTTATTTATAAAAACACGTTTCAGGCTGTAGTTTCCAGATTCCTGTTTATTTATTTTTATTTTTATTTTTTTACTAAATAAACACTATGCCAAGTGTGGGGCTCAAACTCATGACTCTGAGATCAAGAGTTGCATGCTCTACTGACTAAGCCAGTCAGGTGCCCCTTCTGATCCCTGTTCTAGAGACTATATGTATTCTGCCTTTTCTAGGATAAAAGGCTGAATTATATTTGAGTATTTGAGGAAATAAGCAAGGGATGGTCATTAGGGTATCATTATGATCCTAATCTACTGGGTGAATTGGGTCAAGGGCAGAGAGGAATGGTGGTGAAGATGAGCACTCAGTATAAGAGATAAAGAAAAGGAGAGAAATCCTCAGCGATGGGAAAGGGACCCCAATGCCTATTTGGGTTACCCAGAGGAGAATTTTTGGCAGGAGAGGGGGTGAGGGAATGCCCTCACTCCTTAGGCCTCCTTCAGTGTGGAGAAGTTCTACTAACATTAACCCCAGGCCTCTCTCTGTTCCCTAATCCATGGCTTTGTAATTTAGGGAGCCTTGCACATGTGGTTTCGCCCCTACTTCTTCCCCTTCTCTTGAGAATGGGAGGACCACAGACAGCACGTGGCTCTGTCTGCTCTGACCCTCCATAGGGACCTCCTCCCACTCTGAAAACCTGCCCCAGCCCAGCATTTTCTGTAACTAGATGAAGCTCAATCTAATTCTGGGATTCAGAAATCCATTTGGTCCTTGATGGAAGCCACATTCTTCAGCACCAGCTTAATAGGCAGTAAAAATGAGAATCTGGTCTCTATTTGGTTGTGTTTTTTTTCCCCCCTAATTGATTAGATCTTATCTGGAGAAGAAGGGTGTTACTATTGGAAGGCCCTAGGGTCTAACTGGACTGGGAATGGGCTGATATGGACAGGTCTGGAGCCCACCTAAATATGAAAAGCTGTGAATACAGAAAACAGTTTTATTTCCTTTAACTAGAGAAGAATTACATAGAACTGAATATCTCAGAATGCAGTCTACAAAATACTAGTTTTGAGGGGTTCATGTGGAAAAAAGATGTCTATGGTCAAAAGTATGAGAAAAATCTGCAGAATGTGTTTCCTTCCAGTTGATTTCCAACTCACTTAAACATGTGAAAGGCTCTGAGAAATTCTTTAGTAAAGAAACTTTAGGAGTGCCTGCTTGGGTGGGTCAGTTGCTTAAGCATAAGACTCTTGATTTTAGCTCAGGCCATGATCTCAGGGTGGTAAGATCGAGCCCTGCTTGGGATTCTGTCTCTCTCTCTCTCTCCTTCTGCCCCTCCCTGTCCTAAGGAAAGAAAGGAAGGGAGGAAGGAGAAACTTTAAAACCCCTTTTCACAATATATTTGACTATGGAGCATTTTATTCACCTGATATTCATTAAACATCTTCCAGAGGTTTATGAACACCTCGGAAATGAACAGAAATGCTGATAGAATGTTTCTGAAGTTAAAATTGATTATAAAATATATCATTCTTACTTGATTCTTCAGAAGACCCTCAAAATTGTCCCATTTGTTATTCAGCTTTCAAA